TTTCTCTGGCCTTGTTGGTATGCAGTTACCATGGCTTCAGCCAAGCTAATGGTCTGTCTCCAGTTCTGATGAGAGGCTGCAGGGGACAGAAGTGGTAGGACACTGCCATCATTGGAACAGCAGTGCTGGGAGTAGATACAGAGAGCTTTGCAATGTGAACTAAATGAATCTCTCACAGTAGTAACCCTTTTGAGGTAGAGACAGTAATTTTCTCCAATTTACATATTAGGAATCTGAAGCCTGGAGAACAGCAGCAACTGTCCATTTTTACACAATTTGTAAGTAAGGGAGCCAGGATTCAGATCTAGGCAGGCTGGCAGCTAGAACCTCATTCTGCAACTCCACAGATAAACCTGGTTTGAGTCTGGTAATACCTGTGAATTCATACTCTTCAGTCATTCAGCACAGACATTTTAAACCACTACTATAAGCCAAACATTGTTTTGATTGTTGGGAGAAATGCCGGGGAACAAGAAAGGCCTGGCAGGATTTGGCAGTCGGGGGCTGGAAGCACCTAGTGGAACACACATGCATCATAAGCAGGACACGAGGTACCCCACCAGCCAGATGCCCAGGCACTCAGAGCTACCCTACCTGTTTAGTTACCCCAGAGTAAGCACACAAATACCATTTCCTATGTGTGCACTATCAAGACAAATCATAGAGCTGGGGATTTAGCTCAGTTGCACTGTGCCTGCCTTGCAAGCGCAAAGTCCTGAGTTTGATCCCCAGTACCAAAAAAAGGACACAAATCATAGTCAACTACCACCCCACAAACTCCTCTGTTCTTCTGCCTTTTACTTACACCAATCTGGCAAAACTCCTACCATGAGTAATCACACCTGTGCTCTTACACCTATGAGGAGGGTTGTGCAGGAAATCCTGGGCAGAGACAGAGTAGTGCTGGCACATCATTCTCACCGACTTCTCAGTGAATGCTTTTCTGATTAACTCATTCTCAAAGCCTTGCCTCCCCACAGCTGTTTCTCCAGGAAGCCTCCCCAACCAAGTCTGCCCAATGGCATACTCCCATTGCCCAAGTGGTCATTGTTCTTGGTCTTTCTCCAAGGTGTAACTTCCTATTGATTTTGGTGATTGTTATGCTTTAGATCCTAAACATCCTTCCAAAGTCTCATGTGTTCAGAAGTGGGGCTTTTGCAAGGTTATTCGATCATAGGGGTGCTATACTCATCAGTGGATTAATTCATTGATGAGGCCATGGCTAAATATGCTATTAGAAGATGAGATCCACTTGGAGGAGAGGTCACTGGGGGCATCACCTGGAAGCTCCCCAGCTTGTTCCCAGCTCCCTTCTTCTCTCTGCTTCCTGCCTGCCATGGGTTGAGTAGCTTCCCTCTGTCAGGGCCTTTCACCATGCAATTTCTATCTTGGAACCAGATTACCATGCACTGAACCTTGGAAACTATGAGCCGAAACCAGAATCTTTTCTTCTAAGTTGTAAATGTTGAATACTGTGTCTCTGCTGAGGAAAGCTGACTAATATAGATTCTTTGATGAATATCAGTTTCCTCCAGTAGACTGGACCCCCTTCCAGTTCAGGAACCTTGACACCACACTGCTCAGGCAAACCCCCACTCAGAGCCTTAGCACTATTCCCCTCTACCAATACTATTCTTCATCATATGTCTGCATGGCACACCCCCTTCCCTCCTGAAACTATCTACTTCTCATCAAGCCAGCCCAGAAATGCTATTTAGAGTCAAAGTCCTTCCCCAACACTCCTCTCTCCCTCTTTGGGCTTCCTTTCTCCCCATAGCACCTGCCACCCTCTGTGCACCATGTGACTGACTCATTCATCTGCTTGACTGTCTTTTCCCACCAAGGTAGAAGCCCATGAGAGCAGGGACCTTTGTCTCATACTCTTTCTCATACTTAGAAAAATGCATCCAATATGTGTTGAATGAGTGAATTCCTGAGTACCAGTGTCTCGGGCTTTGACTTCCTATGACTTCAACCTTAACCACTGGAGTGAGGGAAGAGATTTCCCAACAGAAAAGTATTTCAAAAATTTGAAATGGTAACCACTTTCTTCCATTCTCTGTCACCCCTAGACACACATTCACAGACTTACCTACTTGTAGGAGGCCACTTCTAACATGGGGTGTAGCAGACAGTAAAAGTTTGAGGTTTGAAAGAATCCTGAGAGATCATCTCATCCAGCTGCCTCATTTTACTGAGGTGGAAGCTGGATATGGTGGCACAAGCCTATAATCCCAGCATGTAGGAGGCTGAGGCAAGAGGATTGCTATGAGTTTGAGGCCAGCCTGGGATACATAGGGAGACCTTGTCAACAAAAGGAAAAAAGGAAAAGAAAAAAAAACCTGAGGGGCAGAGAGGCTCACTAGCTTGCTTGAGGTCACCCATAAATAGGGCTGGAGCTACGCCCAGGTCTCCTTTCCTTTAGCACAGACCCAAGTCCTCTTTAGATCCCCATATCTATCCTCTGCCCAACAGAAACAATTCCCAATGCCTCTGAGCTCCTCCTTCCCTACTGTGGATCTTCCATTCTGGGCCTAAAGTGCATGGTTGGTTGTGCCAATTGCAAGCCTGGCAGAGCTCCCTTCTAGCCCCACAGCCTGGGGTGGAGAAAGCAAGAAGTAGGAAGTAGGACAGCAGCTATAGCTCCTCTCCAGTGCTGCAGGTGGATAAGGACAGAGAAGTCCGGGCCCTCTTTGGGAGCCTCTGGGCCTGTCAAGTTGGAAGGGGTTTCAGAGAGTGTCCTATTGTTTTCCTGTCCTTTCCCAACACAGTACACAAATGAGGAGGCAGACTGAAGCAGGGAGGTCTTGTGCAAAGTCACACAGCAAGTGGGTGCTGAACCCAACAGGAAACCCAGATCTCCTGGCTCTGGGCTCCTTTCTGGTCTCTAAACCCTGCAGAAGATTCAGATTATTTGCCACTTTTGGTGAGAGGTGGGAAGTTGGAGGACAGACTCATTAGGAGCCCCAAAGTGTTTATATCTGCCTTCCCCTCTCCCTATGGCCAGAGACCTCAGGGTGACAAGATCCTGTAGCCCAAGAGGTGTCAGGTGCAGAAACATGACTAGTGGAAACATTCCCCTTTCCTGCCCTCTGGGAGCCTGTTGCTCAGCAGTGGGCTTGAAGGTGGCAAGGCCGTGCTAGGAAGGGATAAATGGTAAGAAAGTGAATAGCTAAGGCTATGGCAATTTCTTTTGTTTTTGTGGTACTGGAGACTGAACCCAGGAATCTCGCACTGAGCTATATCCTCAGGCTTCTTTTTTTTTTTTTTCACTGTTTATTTTGAGACAGGGTCCCACTAAATTGCCCAGGCTGGGCTTGAACTTGTCATCCTCCTTCCTTAGCCTCCCAGAGTGTTAGAATTACAGGAATGTACCACCATGCCCTGATAAGGCTGTGTTTTGTTTTGTTTTTGAGACAAGGTCCCACTAAGTTGACCAGGCTGGCCTCGAACTCACAGTAATCCTCCTACTTCAGCCTCCTGACTGTTGGGATCACAGGAGTGTACCAACATGGCCCGCTATAAGTCTTTTTTTTTTTTTTTTTTTAACCATATGAGGACAGCTACTGTACAGGGAAGAGTGGCACTGTGGTCAAAGGGCTAGAAGCTGGGATTATTTCTTTCACCACTATGCTGAGTTACTTGGCAGCAGCTCAGCTTTCTATGGTTCATGCCTCATTAATTTAACATCTGTTTAGTGATCATCTACTGAAAGCCAGAACCTGTGTGAGATACAAAGCTTCAGCCACAAACAAAACAGACATGGTCCCTGCCCATGTGAGGCTGGCATTGTAATGGTGAAGACAGCTGCTGGATAAGTAACATATGAAATAATCTCATGGTGATAAGCATCGTGGTTGCAGCGCTGGAGTGAGGGGCAACAGACCGAGTTGAGGAGGGACAGCTACAGCCAGGCCAAGAAGGAGCCACATGTGAGAAACCGGGAGGTCATGTGGTGGAACAGCATATGCAACGCCAGAGAAAGTGGTGGGTCCAAGGTAGGCGACAGAGAGATGGGTGGGACCCGGATCCTGCAGGTTCAGGGTCAAAAGAGTTTTATGGCAACCACTGGAACATGTAAACAAGGGAGAGACATGACACAATTTTTGGAAGGTCGCTTATTTTTAATACTGTAGATTAAGCCCAGGGCCTTGTGCATGCTAGGTAAGTGCTTTACCACTGAAGTTACACCCCAAGCCCTTCTGAGATAGGTTCTTGCTAAATTGCTCAAGCTAGCCTTGAATTTATGATCCTGCCTCAGCCTCCTGAGTAGATAGGATTAAAGCCAATTGAAGGTGGGTGTCATTGTCCCCAATTTAGGAAGGTCACTCTTGCTGTGGAGAAATGAACTGGCAGGGGCAGGGTGGAGACAGGAGATCACTGAGCGCTGATGAGAGAATGGTGGCCCAAGCCACGTGTTGGCCACGATCTAAGGGGAGCCAAATTGCCACAGAGGTAGAGTAGTCAGGACCCACTGAAAACTGAACTAGGGGGAGAGGGAAGGTGGCGTTAAGGCCCAGTCTCAGGGTGAGCTGAGCTGAGCTGAACTGAAGGTCTAGGTAGGGGAGCTACCATTTACACTGGTCTCCCTTAAAAAGCAAGGCAATTTCCTCCTGTGCAGCTCTGGGGAAGGGTCCAAGACTGGAAAGGAGGTAACTTACAGGAAACCAGGGACCCCCGCCCCAGGGCTCTTCCAAGAACCTTAAACATGGTGCTTCGGGGAACACAGAGCCAGCTAGGGCCTTCAGGACTTCCCTCCCACACAGGGCCCAGAGCAAGGGGAAGACCTCAGCGGATGAATCCCTCTTTCAGTCTGAGGTCTGTACAAAATGCACAGAACCATCATTTCTTCTAAACTGTTTACAGGACTTCCCAGTCGTCCCCCTCACGTTCTGGTAGGCCCCACCCCTCTGCAACAAGGCTCACAGACCCGTTTTCTTCTCCCCGTGGCGGACCCCAAGGCACCGCTGAGCCTCTGCTCTTGTTCATTCCTCTGCTAGGTGCACCCTCCAACCCCGTTCTGCCCAAAGAATATTGTCTTTTCTCCAATATCAATGAAGAGGATGAATGACGGATTCTTGAAATCAGAAAGAACAGCTCCCTTTCCACTCCAGACTCCTGCAACAAGTTACTGTAACCTGTTTTGGGAGCCGGTGGTTGCTGCTTTGAGTCCTCGGCCCCGCAGGACGATCTTGTTTCGACCCTGTATTCCCCGACAGACGCCCAGGAATTGTGAACTGAGTGACCCAGAAGGGCCCGCCTCTGCAGCTCTGACTCCGAGTCCAGCGGTCCATCGCAGAGGCACCTGGAACCCTTAAGCTGCATCATCTCTACCCTTCCCGTTCCGGCGCGTGGCCCGCGGTGCACCCGGCCCAGCAGCCCAGTTCTAGGGGCCAGGGATGCGCCTGGAGACGGAGGCGCCGCTGGCGTTGCAGGCACTCAGCTTCCGGGTCACATGACTGGGCCGGCCCTGGGAGCTGACTCCATCACGTGACGGCGGAGCCTGCGAGCGGTTTTTCTCACGTGACGGAGGCGTTCGCGTGTGGACCAATAAGAAGGTGGAGGCGGGGCTGGCTGGGGGCGGTGCGCGGGAAGGGAAGCCGGAGCATCAGTGGTGGCCGCTGGGACCCCGCGTGGGGTTCCAGCTCCTGCTCTCAGTCCCGTTGTAAGCTAGGCCCAGATCCAGTACTGGAGGCAGCATGAAGTGTGTGGTGATGGGCAGCAACGTGAAGGGTGAGTTTGAGCCGGCCTGGCGGTGGGCGCGTGAGCTACCTCGGGGGACCAGCCTAACGTCTCTGCTCTTCTCCCCGCAGTGCTGGGCAAGGCCGTCCATTCCCTGTCCCGCATTGGGGACGAGCTCTATTTGGAACCCTTGGATGATGGGGTGAGGGACTGGGCATAGGGGTGGGCGGATTCCAGCTGGGAGCTGGTATCTTGGATTAATCCTTCGCCGCTCCGGGCAGGATGACCGTGGGCAGATTTCTTTGCGAAATTTGAGTTTTCTCAAATTGGGGAGGCGTCCCAATTTTAATTGGGGCGTCACCTTGGTCCCTGTCTTTGTCCCAGGCCAATGTGTGCACAGAGCACACTTACCGTCCCTGGAGCGGTCAGTAGCAGTGCGGGGTTGACTGTAGACTCAGAGATAACTAGGGGGAAGGGCAGGGCGTGCTGATCCGTGGTGGTGGGAGCAATACAGAGGCAGATTGGGAAGGCTTTATGGAGAAACTACCACTACCGGCTGACTCCAAAGGGAAGAAGGGTTTCGACAGATGCTGGAGCAAGGGGTCCTGGGATCACCAAAGGGCAAGTGTGACCAAAATCAAGCGAGAGGGCTGGGCCTGTCCCTGTCCTAACAGTGTCCTCTTCCCTTCTTTTGTGGGCCAGCTCTCCCTCCGGACAGTGAACTCTTCCCGCTCTGCCTACGCCTGCTTCCTCTTTGCCCCGCTCTTCTTCCAGCAGTATCAGGCGGCCACCCCTGGGCAGGACCTGCTGCGCTGCAAAATCTTAATGAAGGTAAGACCTTTCTCTCAGCAACAGCAGGCACTGCCCCATTCTGGGCACTCTGCAGATGCTACCTGGGAGTAGCAATCCCATGCAGAATGCAATGAGGGGCACAGTGAGGACATCCACAGAGGGTAATGAGAGTTATGGAGGGTGTGATGACATTTACGCTGTTTGAGAACAGTAAATGTCTTTCAAGGCTTTCTAGGCAGAGGGAACAGTGTGAAAAAGGCCTGGAAGTGTGCCCATATCAGACATTGGTGAGCCAGGGCCTGCATGGGAAGTGAGAGCTGGTTGGTGGAAACATGGTGCTAGGCTGATATCCCTTCTTCTCTTAGTCTTTCCTGTCCATCTTCCGCTCTCTGGTGATGCTGGAGAAGACTGTGGAAAAATGCTGCATTTCCCTTAATGACAGGAGCAGCTGCCTGGTGGTCCAGCTGCACTGCAAGTATGGTAAGTAGGTAGCTGGCCAGCTAAGGGATCCTTGGGGTTTGGAAAGATTGGTGAGGACCACTGAGAACCCTGTCTGCCCATCCAGGAGTGAGGAAGACTCACAACCTGTCCTTCCAGGACTGTGAATGCCTGCAGGCGGTCTTCAATCCAGCCTCATGCCCCCATGTGCTTCGCGCCCCTGCACGGTGAGCACACCCTTGCCACAAGCTCAGCTTGGGTCTCTTCCTTCCTTCTCTGGGACTCCCAGGGTGAACTGAGACAGAACCTTTTTTGTTCTCCTCCATAGTTTCTGTAAACCTCAGGATGCTCCTGGGTCCTTACCTGGCTCTTTAAAAGTAGGGGCTGGAGCCAGGCGTGGTGGTGCATGCCTGTAGTCCCAGCATTCAGGAGGCTGAGGCAGGAGAATTGATGCAAATTTGAGGCCAGCCTGGGGTACATAGTTCAAGACCAGGCTGAACTACATGTGAGAGCCTGTCTCAAAAACACAAAATGAAAAAATAGCAGGGGCTGGTGTGGAGGAAAGGTAAGTGTCTTCTTGTCCCATTTTCCCCTCTCTCTGTAGGAGCCTGCCTTCTCCTTCCATTAAGGTCTGGCTTACTTCTTACCACTTGGACCCATTCTGATTCCTCTTCTCAGAGAGTGCATCTATAGCAGAACATCACCTCTTTTGTTTGACCTGAGTAATCCTGAAGATCTGTCCTTAACCTTGGGGTTCAAAGAGCTTCTCTAGCCTAATCATCCTTCTGGGCAGTATCCCTATTCAAGGGAAGCCTCTCCTAAATTCTGGCCTCTAGCCTTCAGGAATCCCTAGACCAAGGCAGGAGTTGAGGGTCCAAGAGGGCTGCTAATCTACCATGAGAGTGGAGCTGTGCAGGGCCAAGGGAATGGGGGCTCCAGCAGAGGTGAAGGCCCTGAGGACCAGCTTAGAAGAGTGGGCTCCCCATGCTGGATGCTGCATTCAGCAAGCCCAAAGTATAGTGCATTTCTCCTTGTGACCAAAAGTCCCTTCAGGTCCTGATAGCTCTTTTCCCAGGTTCTGTGCAGCCAGCAGTGATCAGGATTCCTTTGACTAGAGAAAGGGAAGGCTGGCACCTTGGTTTGCATTCGAGGCATCTTTCTTTCTCTTACTTTTAAAAAAATGAACAATTGTTTCTCTCTTATGGAAAATTTCAAATATTTATAGAAGTAGATGTTTTTTAAAAAAATGGTAACTCCTGTTCCCAGTTGCCTTAAGGCAAATTACAAACGATGTCTTATTTGTAAATACTTAGCACCGTGAATCCTTAGAAGACAAGGATTTAAGGGCTCTGAGGATCGAGTTTCTGAGGATGGTATGAGTGGTGTCCTACCCCTACATGGTCACATGCTGCTTGCCTGGCCACCTTCTCTGGGCTGTGCTTTTGTTTGCTCCATCACTCTTACGCTGTGGAATCTTGGTCAGGCAGGGATCACATCTTGCTCATCCTGTCCTGTACTGCCCAAGGTGTGCTCGGCTGTACACCACATGCACATGTGTATGTCACTGCACTGCTTCAGGTTTTCTGAGAACAAAGCCCCTGGCAGGGATGAGCCTTAGGTGTGATGCTCTGTCTTCCTCACAGGATCCTGGGAGAGGCTGTTCTGCCCTTCCCTCCTGCACTGGCTGAAGTGACACTGGGCATTGGCCGTGGCCGCCGGGTCATTCTGCGCAGCTACCAGGAAGAGGAGGCAGGTGAGAGAGCTAGATAGGTCCTGGGATGGAGCAGAGTTGGGGGTGGGAGGGGGTTAGATCCCAGGGACCCAGGAGCCCAGGTTCCTCCTGTGCCCGGCCCCACAGACAGCACTGTCAAAGCTATGATGACTGAGATGAGCATTGGGGAGGAGGATTTCCAGCAGTTGCAGGCCCCAGAAGGAATAGCCATCACTTTCTGCCTCAAGGAATTCCGGGTAAGCTCCCCCTCTTCTCCCACTCACCACCCTGCCATCCTGCCCAGCCCAGGGTCTCACTGCCTGGCTTCTTCCCTACCAGGGACTCCTGAGCTTTGCAGAGTCAGCAAACTTGCCTGTTAGTATTCACTTTGATGCTCCAGGCAGGTAATTCCTAGCCTAGGACAGGAGCGGGGAGGGTTTTGGCATGCCAGGAGCTAATTGAGTAACCTAGCTTGGGCCCTTGTCCCTTGCTCAGGCCAGCCATCTTTACCCTTGAGGACTCTCTGCTGGATGGCCACTTTGTCTTGGCCACACTCTTAGAGCTGGACCCACACTCACAGGACCTGGGCTCCTCACAGCTCCACCGGCCAGTGCCTCAGCTGCAGGGTCACAGGTGAGGGGATTGCCCACCTACTCTTCCCTTCATCTCTTTACACCCCAGGCTGAGTCTGCTGCTTATAGCTTCCATACCTTCCCCCAACACACACAACTTCCTGTCAATCCCTAGCTCTACAATGCTCACAGCTTCCAGCCCTGCAGGCTCAGCCTTCACGGTCAGCTGTATTCAGAGACCCCTCCCACCCAGGGAAGCGTCCCCAAGGTCCCACTGGCTTCCTTTTCTGGCTGAGGCCTCTCCTCTGAGCCTTCTCCCAGGCTAAGGAGGGAAAGAGCTGTTGGGAGGCAGGGAGCTGCCTGGGGTGGGGGAAACAGGTGGCTGGAAGGGCAGGTGGGTTGAGGATGGGCCCAGTGTAGTGGAAGCAGAGGAAGTTTGGTCTGGATCCCTGCCCAGTGGCTCCCTGGGATGCAGTGCACTCCAGCTCCTATCCCCTGGGAAGGTGGGGGCTAGGGCCCCATGTGGCCTACTCACAGGACTTGCTGGTCCCTTCCCCCAGCTAGGCTAAACTAGCCCTCTGGATAACTCCCTCAGGCCCCCACCTGAACTGTGATCAAAGGGATTGCAGACCCACCCCCTCCAGGAAGCCCCCACTTAACTCCTGCATCCTCTCCTCTCTAGCCAAATGAATAAAACCAAGAGCTCACCAGTAGTCTTGAGGCCCCAGAGCCCTCTCTGAGCCCTCTGAGGTGGAGCCTGCCTACGTACCCACACTTCTCTCCCTAGTCTTTGCTGATATTCTGTCTCTGTCTACAGCACACCCCACCAGGATGATTTTGCCAATGATGACATTGACTCTTACATGATTGCCATGGAAACCACTGTAAGTAGTGAGGGCTTACGGGTACTGCCCTCAGTTACCCTTACACCTGGCCCCCAGCGCCACTGTGGCCCTGGCCCCCACTCAGAGGAAGAGGACAATGATGAAGCTGAGCCTGGTCCAGTGCCTGGAACTCCCCCACCCAAGAAGGTAAGGGCTTGAGGGGGGGGTCCAGGGACTGGAGGTGAGGAAGGGAGCAGCCTCTAGAACTCACTCAGCCTCCTCTGTTCTTTCCAGTTCCGCTCGATGTTCTTTGGCTCCATCCTAGACCCCATACACTCTCCCCAGGGCCCCAGCCCTGTGCTGGCTGAAGACAGTGATGGTGAAGGCTGAAGAAAGAACTTGAAGTCTGTGTCCTAAAGCCGTGGACTAGAAGCTCCAGCCAGTGTGGCAGGGCTAGGTCTCAGTGCTGGGGAATGGGGGTGATAGAGGGGCTGTGCTGGAGCTGAGCTGGCAGTTCTCCTCCTTCCCAAAAAGCTCCATCTGGCTCTCCACTGCAGAGCTGCCTGACTGACTGTGCTTGGCCTGGGTCTTGACATTTCCCCCTAATCTTGCAATCAATCTTTTCTTTTCTCAGGCCTGGTGCTAAGCTGCCACCTGATAGAAGGTGCCTCACCTGTCCTTTACCATACAGCCTCCAGCCATTTGGTTGGAGCCGAAAGCCCACCTTCCTTAGGCTCACCTCTCTAAGAGAAAATCACAGTGGGGCTGTAGCCCCTGCTAATCCAACCTCTGCCAATCATGAACCACTCATCCCTCAAGCATTGGTCATACCTCTGGAACCCCTAACAGCTGACACACACTTTTCTTGCTTTCCCAATACTGTTTGGCTCTGGCTTGGAATTCTAAGAACCTCTGGACCTGAGTATGTGGCTAAGGCTGTCCTGGCTGGGCCTGTGCCCAGCAAACGTGATCTCTCAAGTGCCTTTGGCAGAGGGCTGCCAGGCCCAGTGTTTAGGACAAGGGAGACAGAGGCTGTGGCCAGAATCCAGCTTTGACTTTTATTCAAGAGACCAGATGGGTTGCCCCAGGATCCGGCTGCCAGCCCTGTGGCCAAGCACGGCTGGAAACCCACAGTCTGGCCTGCCATTGCCCTGAGCTGCAGCCTCAGCCCCAGGATCCTGCTTGTAGCCACCACAATTGTGGGTGGGAGGGAGCCCTGGGGGATTGGACACTGCTATTGATTCATTAAAAAAGAAAAAATAAACCAAGGCTCCGTGTCCCCCATGATGGGTGGGCCTGAGGGGCCTTTTGACCCCCAGTGGGAGTATGATTTCTTTACAATCAATCCATCTGGGGTAGAGGAGTGGCACACGGAGGTTATTTCTTGGCTTTGGCAGAGTTTCGGGGTGGGGTAATGGGTCGGCCTCCAGGGTTCAGGCCACTGAACTGCCCGTACTTCCCCTTGTTCTTGTCAGCGGGCTTGAGGATCTGAAAGAAAAAAAGTTGCTCGGTCTCATGCTAAATTGCAGGACCCACCAGGCACTTCTGCAGAACCTACCTGGAAGGAGCACATGAGGGTCTCATCCACACTCATCATGGCACCAGCATTGTCAAACTCGCCACAGTAATTAGGGGCTGAGAAAAGTGTTACCAGCTGCCGCTTGGCAAAGAACTCATAACCATCTTCCACCACCTGAGAAAGGATAGGAACAATCAGGTCCCAGTCTAGACTCCCCATTCCCCCTTTCTGCCCTGACCCAGGACTGCCAGCCCACCTGGTGTGCCCGGCAGATGAGGTCCAAATCATGCTTGTGCAGAAACTTGGCCACCACCTCAGCCCCAAAAGTAAAGGAGACACCACGGTCGTTCTCGCCCCAGCCCTGCACATCCTTGTCAGGGTCAGACCACAGCAGGTCACATAGCAGGCCTTGATCAGGCACGTCTGTGGGCCGCATGATGCGCCGAATCTGCTCCATGGACTGTAAGTCTGGGGACAGGCCTGGAGGAACAAGATGGGACACTTTAAACCTCAAAACAAGGAGCCCTCCTCCTCCAGGAGCCTTCTGGGAATCAGCCTTACAATTCACACCACCACTTGAGCCCTCTCCTGGACCCCTGGGAGCCCAGGCAGGCAGAACTCATACCCCCTGGAGCTTTTTCAAGTCCCAAATACAAGCATAGATGTCCCTGTCTTCAGGAAGTGCAGAGCTCCATACAGAAAGGCGACAACTGAGTTCCACGCAGGATACCAAATGCCACAACAGGAAAGAATGCAGCCTAATGGGTGTGAGGTCATTTCCTGCAAAAACTAGACATCTAAGATGACACCCAAGGAGAGCTGTATCAAGTGACTTTGAACAGTCTTCTAAGGGTTTTGCTCCAAGGCCCTGGGGGATGCAGCCTGGGTATTCTCTCAGCAAGCGTACCATAACCACCCTCACCTCCATGGCAACAGAAGATTTTCTCATCCACAATGGCAGCAATGGGCAGGCAGTTGAAGCAATCAGTGAAGGTTTTCCATAATTTGATGTTGTAGCGTCTCTTGCCTGCCAAAGGAGATAGCTCATGGAGAGACCTGCTCACCCCACCCTCAGCCTGGCTCTCTGGGCCCTCCAGGGCACTGTGGGCTATTCAGACATACCAGCAGCTGGGAGAAGAGAATGGAAGGCAAGGAAGGCTCAAGCCCCTGGCCCTACCTCACCAGCATTCCAGGAGTAATTCTAAAGCACCTGGGGCCAGAGGCACTCAAGCTCCAGTCTGGTCTAATCTCAGGGTTGGCAGACACCCCCATTCCATGAGGAGGACCAGGCCAAAACCAAGTCTGGTTTATCTCCACTTCAGGCCAGCATAGTCTGGTCTACACAAGCATCTAAATGCTAAAGAAATGCATGCCCTACAGACAAGTGTCACCAGAGCCCTGGGGGGAAGCATCAGCTTAACAGGCAGCTCTCTAGCAGCATCCATTCACCACACCCAGCCTGAGTGTCAGGCCTCAGAGCAGGGAGGGCAGGACAGAGACACTAACTGACCATCTTATTGTCCATCAGGGAGCTGTGAGGGCTCCATGAAGAGCAGGGCATGCAGTTCCAGCCCCGGGGAGCCCTCAACACTCAGACCACTCACACTCATCATAGAAGCCATAGATACGGTTGATGCTGGCACACTCATGGTTCCCTCGGAGAAGGAAGAAATTCTCGGGGTACTTGATCTTATAGGCCAGCAGCAGGCAGATGGTCTCCAAAGACTGTTTGCCCCGGTCCACATAGTCCCCCAGGAAGAGGTAGTTGCTCTCTGGAGGGAAGCCGCCATACTCAAACAGCCGCAGAAGGTCGTAATACTGGCCATGGATATCACCTGTGACCAGGGCATCTGGTAAGCTAGGTGTGAAGTGTAAACTTGAACCCAGGGCCAGGATGGGCTCAAGGGAGGAGGGATCCAGGAACTTTGGGGATGGGGATGATGCCAATTTCAGGAAGCCAAAGGTGCCTGGGCAGAGGCTCACCACAGATCTTGAGGGGGGCCTCCAGCTCCAGAAGAATGGGCTGGCTCAGGAAAATCTCCCGGGATTTGAGGCACAGACCACGGATCTCGTTCTCTGTCAGCTGTACATTCTTTCCAGGCCTCGAGCCCTGCACTGGGGGCGGGATGAGATGTTAAGACCCTGGTCCCTGGCAGGTGACATGGGTGGCCCCATGGGCACCTCTGAGGACCACTGGGCCCTCCCTTGCCCGGTGACAGTTGTTACTGAGCCTCCCAAATCCTCCATCTCGAGCCCCCTAAGACAAGACCCCAACTACCCTGGGGGCCCACCAAAGGGGGACTGTGAGTAGAGGCCTGTCACCCAAAAGCTCACAGCGCACGACCCGTTCTCGGCTAGGCTTTACAGGTTTCTCACCTCAAGAGCCCAGGCCACCCTGCACCCCCAGCCCAGGAGGGGGCTGCTTCGCCTGCCAGAGCGAGCCCCAAACCTCTGAGACGTCCACGGTGGGGGAGGTGTAACCATGGGACCTTGCGGCCCGTCCCCGCCCAGTTGAAGCTAGGGTCGGAACGCTCAGGTCTGCCAGCGGCCACTTCCGGGCCAGGCTGGGGGCCAGAGCGCGGCCCTTCCCCACCCCGGCCAACCTTCCAGCAGGCGCCCGATGATAGAGTCCAGGTTGAGCTTCTCGCTGTCGGACATGGCGGCGCCGCCGCTCCGGCCCAGCAGCTCCGGGGCCACTCCTGTCTCCCGCCCTCCCGCAGCCTCCTTCCGGCCTGGCTCTCCTTCCGTCCGCCCCAGCCCGCCCCCGGCCCGCCGCCCCGCCGCCCCGCCGCCGCCCCGCCTCCTCGGCCACCAGCCGCGCCGCGCCCCGCCGTTCTCTACCTTCTAGCGCCTCTAGTGGATGGGGAGCGCTGCAGCCTCGGCGGACCGGGGGCGGGGCCTCGACCGATGGGCGTGGCTGTGCTGTTAGGGGCGGGAGCTGCTAAGGGGTAGTGGTAGGCGGGTTTTTTCTGGGGCTGGGTCTGAAGGGGCAGGATTTGGGTCTGGCTCCGCCCCTGAACAATTACCCAGCCCTGCTCAGAGGATTTGTGGCCGGAAATACTGGGAAGTTGTTTTTCTTTCAAAGGCTAAACAGTCCTTTCCACCCCTTCCCTGAGATTCAGATAGCTAGAGGCTGGTCACCTTGGTTTCCGTGGCTTCCCAGGCAACTGGCCCGAACCTAGGATATCTGCCACTGAACTCCTGGTATATTTTGGTCCACATGGCTTGCTCAGTTATTTTTTAAAATATAAATTCCAGCCGGGCGTGGTGACACATGCTTGTAATCCCAGCATTCAGGAGGTTGAGACAGGAAGATCACTGTGAGTTTGAGGCCACCCTGGACTACACAGTGAGACTGTCTCAAAACAACAACAAAATTTAAATAAATAAAATATAAAATATAGTTACCTTTTCAGTACCGTGGTAATATGGTATTGTGTGCAAGTTAAAAGTGTCACTTGAGTGCTGGGCATGGTGGTGCAGCCTGTAATCCCAGCACTTGGGAGGCCGAGGCAGGAGGATCATTGCAAGTTTGAGGCCAACCTGCACTGCATAGTGAGTTCAAGGCCAGCCTGATTACAAAAAAAAGCAAACATTAAACCATAAGTCTTATTGGAACCCTGAGTTGATTGTTTTACATGTGAGTAAACTCAAACCTGAAGTGGACTGGTATCTACCTCTGACAGGTTGGGGCCCCATCACAGCACAGGGGAAGGAGGGAGGAGCCTGTGGCTCAGGGGCACTGGGGTAGGCCGGAAGAGCCTCTGAGAGGAAGGGGTGACCCCCACACACGCTTGGGAGGGGCCCCCAGTGGGTTGCTGAAGCTGAGTCTGAAGAGGAAGTGAGAGGAGGAGGTGAGGTGCAACAGGGAGGTGAGCCAAACTGGGGGGACAGGGGCTGGCCCGGCCTTTCTGTCCCTTCAGGGACCAGCCCAGTCCTTAATAAAAGAGAGCTCATAGGAGGCTGGGTGAGATACCCTGAAAGCTAATCTCTCTGGCTCCACAGCCAACTTGAGGGCCTGGAACTGGCTGGCTGGGAACCCAGGCCCAGTTGAACAGGAGCTTCTCTCACACTGGCTCTTCCTGCACCTTGCAGCCTGTGGCATCAGGGATCTGGGGCGCCATGGCCCAGGCCCTGGGGGAGGACCTGGTACAGACTTCCGAGCCTCAAGATGACTCCAGCTCTTTGGGGTCCGACTCAGAGCTGAGTGGGCCTGGTCCATATCGCCAGGCAGACCGCTATGGCTTCATTGGAGGCAGCTCAGTGGAGCCAGGGTAAGTGGGGAAGAAATGGAGGGGGTAGGGGTAGGGTGGAGTGGCTCAAGGACTGAGGATGGATACTGAGGGCTGAATTCTGGAGTGAGGCCCAACTTAGAGGGTCTGAGGAGGATCTGGCTGTAGGGACCCAGTCAGGGACTCATCCAGTTCCACCCCCTCAAAGCTCCAAGCGGAACCCCAAGGTGGAAGGGTGGTGTGGAGAAGGCTCCTGCGTGTCTCTTTTATGCCAGCCTCCAAGGGTTTTCACCCATCCCTGGGCCTGAACATCTTTCTTCTTTAACTTCTGGCCCAGGAATCTCAGGTCCAAATCGTAGAACCTACACACCTCTTCCCTTTCCCTTCCCCAATGTACAAACAGGAAAACAAGTCCAGAGTAGACAGAAACTTGCTCCAGGTCACACAGCAGGTCAGAGACAGAAGAAGACTCCTGGCTTCCAGTCCAGTGCTATGTCCAACAAGCTTTCCCTA